GAAAGAAAGAAATGCTACAAGCTGTCCAAAAAAATGCTACAAGTTGTCCAAACAAATGCTACAAGCTGTCCAAACAAATGACACAAACTGTTCAAACAAAATGCACAAACTGAACCAAACAAGATGCTGCAAACTGAACCAAACAAAATGCGCAAACTGAACCAAACAAATGCCACAAAATGTCCAAACAACATCACAAACAGCAGCATTACAACAGGACAAACCAGCAGCATCAACAAAAAACGAGGCAGCAATATAGCAAGTAAGCAAATAGCTAAGTCAACAAAAGCTAAAACAGGCAGCAGTGCAGCAGTATGGCAAGTATGGCAAAATAAGCAAATAAGCAAAGCTTGCTCATGAAGTCATCATTTTCCATGCAAACCTTTCAGAATTAGAAAAAGAGCAAAAATCAATTTGCTTTTTTATTGTCATTGAGAGAGAAGAGAGGAAAGAAGTCACCTAGGTTATTGGAATGCACAGCCTTGCTGCCCTGCCTGTCACAAGTTGCATAGAATTTGCTAGAAAACAAAACTGCAACCAAAAAGCCATAAGGACAATATACTAAAATATTCAAATTTATTGGTTTCCCACCATTTTGAATATGGATATAACAGAAGCAGGGTAAATATAACAAAGGAGAGGGCAATAGAAAGAAAGGGAGAAGTCTCAAGCGAAAAATATAGAAACATCATCAAACTCAAAAACTTGAAACAAGCTTCAAAGGCAAAAACCTGTCAACTGTCCAAGAAAAATCATCAAACACAAAACCAGAAAAAAGCCAAAATCTCAAACAACCATCAGCCAAGCCTTAAAAATCCCAAACTGTAAGCAAGCCTAAAACAACCATCATCCAAGCCTTAAAAAATCCCAAACTGTAAGCAAGCCTAAAACAACCAAAAACATAGTAGCAAGCTTCCAATATTCCAAACTATACACAAGTCTCAAACTGAAAATACAAGCTTCACAAGCTCAAAAACCTGCTAAACCATCAAAAAGATCCAAAACTGTTAACCATTCAAACAGAACCATCAAAACTCCCAAAAACCAGAAGAACATCAACAAATCCAAAACCAAAACTTTACAAAACTGTTAACCATTCAAACAAAAACCAACAACAAAGATCCCAAACCATGAACCTGTAACAAGCCTAGAACGACAAAAACCTGTTAACCATCTTCAAACTCATAAAACCAGTCACTATCTTCAAACTCACAAAACCAGAGCCAAGCCTCAAACACAAACCAGAAAACATCATCAAATCAAAAACATGTTAACTCAAAACACAATAACCATCATACAGTAGAAAAATCCCAAATAGTAGCAAACCCAAAAAAAATCCAGAAAAACTGTTAATCACCATCATTCAAAGGAAACAAAAGAGTTACCAACGAGCTAGAAAAAGCCACGCCCTCATCTTTATCTCTTCCCCTCGTGCAACTCCGGCCACCACAGAACACAATCCTCAGTCTCGTCCTTCCCTCTCCTATTTCACAGAAAAAATCTCCAACATGTATGAATTTCTTCATCTTTCTCATAATTCCATAACATATTTCTCTGCATCTAAAATCACGAGGTAGTTAACAGAAAACACCAAGATAGAACAATAATCAACGAAGTTTTTAAACTTTGAAAAGAACAGAAATCTTACCCCTTTAAGAAAATCTTTAGAACTCGATTAGGGAGGCGAGAGGTTCAGTGTTCCGGCAACGGAGTTTCAGAGAGGTCAGAGATGAATCAGTTTCAGGTCTCTTAGGTTTAGGACCGATTTCAAAACTTAGGGTTTTCAAAAATGGAAATCACGGTGAGATAAGGAGATAGAAGAGGGTGATTCGGTCATGAGGTTAAACAGGGATGGTTAGTGAGAATATTTAGAGGTTTCAGCAAGATGAACAGAGATGAGCGAAGAAGATAAAGAGCGGCGCTGTGAATTACAAAGAGTTCCAAGAACCCTAATTTCATTTTCCCCCTTAATCAATAACTAAGTGCCGTTTAAGAAGTCTGGGCTTGATTGTTGTTAACCCCCAAGCCCATTTTCGCTATTACTGGATTTACCCCCCTTTGCCTGTTTTTTTTTTGTTACAGCAAGAACAATATTTTTTCTTTTGGGCCTCATCTCTAAACCCAATTCAGGCCCATACTGTTTCTTTAGTTCATTTTCTTTTTTTATACAAATGTTAATAACTTAAAATACATTTTAATTTGATTTAGGTTTTGTAATTTAATTTTTATCACTTTCTTTTTTTAATAAATTTTGTTTTAGATTTAATTAACTTAATAAAAGATCAAAAAATTAATTTAGTTTGTTTTCTTTCTTTAGATTTTATTTAAGTTATTGAAATACAAAAATAAAGATATAATTTAATCAATTATTTTTATTTTTAGAATAGGTTTTACTTTTCTCTTTTCAAGTAAATACTTAACATTTCATCTTTATATTTCGTTGATTTTATTTTCATGGATTATCATAGCTTTAATTAAATCGCACAAAATTCGATTTGGTTGTATTGCTTGTTATTCAGACCTTTCTATCGCATTTGATTCATCCCCATTTGTAAAAAATTGTACCCCCATTCCCGAACACTTTGTAATAGCGTAGAATTTCAATTCCCGCAATTTACTGTTTTCCATATACTGTATAGTAATTAGGCGTGTATGGCAAGATTCAAAAAATCAATCGCTAGATGACCTAATCAAAGAATAAAATAACTTGAAACCAACACACTTTTTCACACGCGCACCTCTAGGGTAACCTCGCTCGTTGCCTCAGAAATACAATCATGTCCCTCGAATATGGGACGCTCTAGCATTGACCCTTCGATAAAAAAAGATCGTAGTCCCTCGATGACCCTCGATGTTGCCTTCGATAAAACGATCTCGTCCCTTACGAAAATTCCTAAAGCGTCTCCTAAGTTGCTTTCGATGATTGTGAAATTGACCCGCGCCTGTCCCTTCACATCCAATGATGGGGCTTCTTACCAAATCAATGGTAAGATAACACCATTAAAAGGAGGAAGAAAAGAACAATTTAAGACCTTTCGAGTAGATAGATTCGCTCTTAGTTACTCGCTTGCTCACAATAAAAACTTTTCACACCTACACTTTCATTTCAAAACATTTTCAAAAAGATAAAACGTTTTGTATACGTTCTTATAGAGACGAGAACCATTGCAAAACATCTTTTCAAGACACTTTCCGAAACACGATTCACAAACACATCTTTGAACCACTTTTCGAAACAAAACTTTGTACGCGTTCTTATAGAGACGAGAACCATTACAAAGAGATTTTTCAAAATACTTTCAAAACCTACACCATAAGCACACTGTCAAATGAAAGCAAGTGATCTAAACGAGTAACTAAGAGCCCATGAAAAACCATGGATGAAAAGGGTGCTAATACCTTTTCTTTTCATAATCTACCCCCCGAACCCGAGAAATAATCTCGAAAGGTCTTTCCTGTGCTTTTTTACCTTTCCTTTTGGATAAAAGAAAAGTCGGCGGCGACTCTTGCTATCCGCACAAGTGCGATCGAAACGCAAAACATCAAGTCAGTTCTCCCACTGTATCATAGTTGTCTTGTATTGTTTTGTAGTGTCCAATACTGTTCTATTCAATACTTTCTTATTTTGCAAATCAAACGCTAGTGCTTCACCCATAGGGATGACAACTCAGACCATTCCTAATGGGTATCCACAAAAATCTTCACAACGAATAGGGTAAAAACTCGCACAAATGGATACGAGCACAGACTCAGATAATTAACCACTTAAATAAGCGAGTATGGGTGCAGGTATGAGCACCTTAGTACCCACCTCGCCCCATGCCCGAACAATATATATACTTATATACTTTAATTTATATTATTATATTAAAATAAATGTCTATTAATTTTCAAAAATACATCGATGTTAAACCATTACATTTGTAACATAAGTGTTGTTTTATTTAATAATTCAACAATAAGGCTATGTTTGGATTGATGGAAGACAACAGAGCGGAGTGGAATGAAACATAACATAGCGGAATGGAACGAAGCAGAATGGAATAGAGCAAAATGGAATATAAATCCCACTCCATTTGAATATTTTATTTAAAATGTCTTATTCCATCCCATATACCCCAAATTAGATGGAACAAAAAATGGAGAATTGGATGGAATTGGATGAAATGCATTCCATCATGTTCCGCTTAATTCCATCCACTTTATACCAATTCAAACAACATGATATTATTCCATTTCATTCGGTCCCGCTCCGTCATGTTCCATCAATTCAAAAATAATTAATTTATTGAAAAAATTTAAATATTTTTAACAACTTAAAATAATATGATATTTTATATTTTATATATTTATTTTTTATTAGAAATCTGAATAATAGATAAAATATGAGTACTTACATACTCATAAGGCACAAATACGAGTACTAAGATTGTTATCCAAATAAATATGAGCTCGAGTGCGTGGATTTTTTACAACAATCAATATATATATATATATATATATATATATATATATATATATATATATATATATATATATATATATATATATATATATATATATATATATATATATATATATATATATATATATATATATATATATCATGGATATGGAGATGAGTATTATAGTTCTCAATCCATCCGTATTCACCCATGAGAAATTTGGTTAAACCCTCCCTTTAGAAGCCACCCAATTAAAAACAAAATATAAAATTTTAACCGAAAAAAAAAATCAAGAATGGAGAGATTCCAAAACTAAAGAAACCCTCGCACACAAAATTCAAAATACACGAGAGAAGAAAGAATTAAGACCATATCCAGTAACAACTTCACTCATCATAATGACATCAGATACGCACTCACTCTCTATGCATTTCCCATAATCACTTATCAGTTGATAACCGATTCGCACCGATCCTTGTCACTCTTTCCATCTTCCAACAATCGATTATTCTCAAAAGCGCTTTTTCTCCCGATCTGCGTTTGCTTTATTTCAACATGACTCAAACCGCCGCGGGCTTTGAAAATCTTATCGGCTATTACGAACCTCCAGTTCAAGTACGTTCTTCTCTCTCTCTCTCTCTCTTTGAAGCATTCTCAGATCTGTTACCTTTTTTACTCTCTAAACTTTGGTTCTTGTTCATGATTTCCATTTTCTCTCTATTAATGTGATTGCTGCAGTGTTCTTCAGTAGTTTAATTGCTTTTGATGCTACTTATTCTGTTCAATTTTGACCTGAGATTTATAGCAGGTGGAAAACCTAATTTCAACTCCGAATGCATTCTATATGTGTATATATAAGCTTTTATTTAAGGAATATTGCTCGGAATTAAGTGTATGTTTGGTTCTGCGGGGAGGAGAATTGATTTTGTAGAATTGATTATAGTTAAAAATGAGTTGGATGTAAACTGATTTATGTTTGGATGCATTTCCGTAAAAGTGAGTTGAACAAAAAATTTAGCGTAAAAATCACGTTTAAACTCAAAAGCTACAAATTGTATCTTCAATTAGAATTTAATTCTAGAGGCAGAATCAATTCTACATTAGAAGAACCAAACACCTTTCCATCATTCAATCAATTCTTTACCTCTAGAATTGCTTTTAGCTCTTCTTAAAACTAAACCGAACATACACTAAGAAAATGTACTATTTGTTGTGTGACTTTAGAAGCCGATAAGATTAACTGCAAGTGTTTTTTAGTGATACGATAGTTATGATGATTGATTGGCATTGTAAAGAAAAGCTGTACAACAATGGTGTCATAAAAGCTTGTAATTAAAATGATGCTGACTGAACTTTTGGCTGAAAAGGTATTTTATTTGTACAAATTAGGCAAAGTTAACTATGTGATTATTATTGGTAAGGAATTTAGGTACTGACTATGCTTTGTTCATAAAACTGCATAGGGATTAGGTTTTCTTTAGTTATTTGATTTCACTTTGTAATGTATCCTCTATATGCTGCCACCTTATTTGGTTCACTATTGTAACTGATGAGTGGTGTTGTATTGGATTTTATGGGCTGGATTTTGTGTATGTTATTCATGTGTACAATTATATGCGTAATCCAGTTTGTGTCCGGGTCTCAACAAGCTTTAAAGGTTTCAGCTAGTATATCTTGTTGTTCCGAAATGTAGGAGCTTATTGTTATTGATGAAGTACTCTCTGCTATGGTTGGGGTTGAAGGACGTTACATTTCAATCAAAACACTTCGTGGAAAGAAGGATGAAATTATTAATTTCCTGGTGGACCCATCTATGGATTTGGCACTGCAGGTGAGATTCGCATAATTTTTCACTGCTGTGTTTTGAGTCACAATCATAACATTAGAGCTGTTAAACCTCCACCTTTTGCTTTATGGTGATAGTTATGATAGGAAGTTTAGAAAGAAAACCAAGCTATAGTTGCAATGAAAATGCTTTCTATACATTTTTTTGAGAAAAAAAAATTATAAGGAGTTCAATATGTTCAGTATCATAAGCCTAATGCTAAATAGGTTCATTAAACCCATTTAGGTTTTTCTTTCAATGTTTCTATATTCTTATTTCATTTTTATAAACTTTTGTAAAGGAACGTGAATCATCTAGCTTACTATTCAAATAATGCATCGCATTTTACTTAAAGTTTCTCTCTTCTTTTGGCAGCAATCCAAATGAAGAAAATTATTTTCTGCAATTATGTTTAGATATTCAGCCATTGTTTAAAATTGTGATTTGCAACCATAACTCTGCCCCCAAATTGTGTGTTTTCGAGGTCTCTGCCAAGTAAGCTGACATGGAATGTAAAATGGCCTATGCTATAACTGTATAACTTTAGATAAGGGACAATATAATGAAATGCAACATTGCAATAATGAAATATAACATTACAATGATAGAGTTGTGTCTGAGTCAGTTTTTTGTTGTTGCAGGAGTTGGCAAAACGGATTTTCCCTCTTTGTAGGAGCTTTCTGTTGATCAACCAATTTGTGGAATCAAGGTCTCAGTTCCAGAATGGGCTAGTTAATCATGCCTTTTCTGCTGCCCTTAGGGAATTCCTTCTCGTATGTTTTTCTGAACAGTGAGTCAGTTGTTGATTTACATTTCACATGAAGTGATTGTTTGCTTCTTGAAAAGATGTTTGTGTGTGTACATATACTCACTTTTATAGTTGGCTCTTTAACTTCAATTAGTAGCCTGTTACTGTCTGGTAGACTATTTAAAAAAAGCGTATATATCAAGTGTTAATATTTAGTGCCTGATGCTGGCTCGGTATACCTCAACTAGCACCTCCAGATTCTTTTCCTAACAAAGCTTACAGTTCATTACCTTTATCTTCTGTTGGGGGTGGGGGAGATAAAAACATCAGTTTCTAGAAGAAACTGTAATCTAGTGATCACTTTTATTTATTTATTTTGAGAATACTCTCTTCTAGGGAATCGCAATCAAGTTAGTTAAAAATGTGCATTTAGTTTGTTTCTTTCCATTTTCTGGATTACAGATTGCTAAGATTAAAAACCAGTAAATTTAGTTATCCTGTAGTGTCATGTAGAACCGGCACTTTAGGTTTAAGGTGTGTCTGACACACATATGACACATGTCAGACACTCAATTATAGTGTTAGGATATAATCTTTTTAGGCTCTGATATGTTGAGGACACTGCTCCGGCACCTAGTCGACAATTCCATTTGGTTGGAAGTTAAAAGGGACATGGTTAGTACCAAAAACTTCTTTATTTTTAACAATGATGATCAACTAGTGGATGAGACGACGAGAGTCCTTAAGTTGATTAGATATACTTTTTCGGTAATAGATGGATGGATTGGAGGTAATAGACAAAGTTTAACAATCATAGTGTTTAACTAATTAGTATTTTTAGGTGATACTCATTAAGATAGGAAAATGTAATACTTAGCAAGTTCTTTATACACATGTATGTGTGTCTCATGGTGTGCTATATTTTTGACATTATGTCACATGCTGTGCTATATTTTGGACATTATTGGTGTTTATGTGGCTATGTCGTGTCTGTTTCAGTGCTTCAAAAGGTCAAGTCTGAAATTTTATTTAGTATTGTACCCATTTGCACTTTCAAACTCATTTTTAGGATGAAGTATTTTGTAGAAATAGTAGGACTCAATGTTATTCATTAAAACAACATGATGTTGTGGATATGTAGACCTAGTTTAGTTTTGACTGTAGTGTTTTGTATTTTCAAAATATTTTGGTAAAGAGTATTATAGGATAAGGTATCTTCCAGAAAAAAAGGTGGAACTTCGATGGGTCAAAGTTGCCAGTGTCCGTAAGTGCAATCCCTCTACAAAGACCATAGCCCTTTCTTGTTGAAGCAAAACAGTTTGTTTCACACTCTCGTAATCTTATTTATCTTAGAACCTAGGTTCTGTTGAGCAGTTTCCTTCTCCAATATCTGCACATTATTGGGCCTTGCTGGAATTTCAAGCAGGAGCTATGCAAATATCTGACTTGCCGATAACTTTATTGAGCAAAAACTAGTAGCATAGCATTAATTAGCAAAATAAATGTTCACCTCTGTTGCAGTTCATCATTTATAGTATCTCTGGATTAAAATATGCAATTTGAATAAGAATGTACTTTTACCATTACAGCATGTCATTATGTTTACCAGGATTACCAGGCCTTGGTGGCACAACTTGAGCACCAATTCCGGCTTGGGAGACTTTCCCTTCAAGGATTGTGGTTCTACTGTCAGGTATGAATTCGTCTTGGATTAAATGTAAATCAGTAAATGTTTGTCTAACTATTGCTGATAAAACCTTCAATGATGTGTTTCAGCCCACGTTGAAGTCAATGCAGGCATTGTCTACTGTCATACAGAAGGCTTCAGCCAATAATTTTTCTGGTTCCGCCGTTCTTAACTTACTACAGAGCCAGGTAATGAATCTCCCTTGTGGTTGTCATCATTTTCTGAAGTCTGCACATGTTCAAAACCTTCCGTTTAGTTTAGTTTCTCAAGCACTTAACTCTCTCCACTATGGATTCCGTTGTCTCTAGGCAAAGGCTATGGCTGGAGATAATGCAGTTAGGTTGTTGCTGGAGAAAATGACACAATGTGCAAGTAGAGCCTACATGAGCATACTAGAAAGGTTGCTATTTTCTGCTTTAATATGTATAAAGTCTGTATACATACACCAAATCAAATTGATATTCAAATATATTGTTTGTTTTGGTTTTTACATGAATGTCTCTAAATAATTATAAGCCCTGTCACCCTTTTTTTGGGGTTTAGAATCTCTATCCTAGTCCTTTTTTTTCTTTTCAAATATCTTATAATCTTTTGTTTATATTATTAATCATAGAACTAGCTTGATTTCTTTTGATATCCGGTGCATAAAAAAATGTGAACAATGTGCTCGATGTTGTTTACCTACAAATAAATCTCTACTTTTGAGTATTTTTTTGCTATTACATTTATCAGTTATATTTGTTATACTAGTTTAATAACCTTAAATATTATGGTGGTTTAGATTGCTACGCACTCTTATTATTCAGTTCTCTCTAATTAATGTTCCATTTTATTGTCCACCTGGGAATCAAACAATCCTAAAGATGGGTCTATGAAGGAGTAATAGATGATCCTTATGGTGAATTTTTCATTGCAGAAGACAAATCTCTTCAAAAGGTACATCATAAAATTTAATCACTCAATACTGCCCAAAATTAATATCAAAACTTGTTTTTTTCGTATGACTCCGTTTTCTATTCTCTATAGGAGAGTCTTACTAAAGACTATGATGCTAAGTATTGGCGGCAGCGTTACAGCCTCAAAGATGGAATTCCTAGTTTCCTTGCAAATACTGCAGGAACAATTTTGACCACAGGAAAATATCTAAATGTTCTGAGAGAATGTGGACACAATGTTCAGGTGTTGTTACTGTTATACTTGTATGTAGAATAAAGTTATATATCTACTCCTTAGCCATTCAAGTTGGAGTGTGCTTGTGAAATACTTATTGTTCACTAAATGCAGTTACTTGTTACTTTAGGTCCCTCCGTCAGAAAATTCAAAACTAATGAGCTTTGGCTCAAATCATCATTATCTTGAATGTATTAAGGCTGCTTATAACTTCGCAAGTGGTGAACTCGTGAATCTCATTAAGGAAAAGGTGATTTTTAATACGATTAGGCTTTTAAATTCTCAGCTTACAGTTTAATGCTTCTGCAATAGTTGTTAATGTTAAAAACCCAAGTTCTGATGGTGAATTGTGTTTGTATGTTTAGTATGATCTAACAGGAAAATTGCGGTCAATAAAACACTACCTTCTTCTTGATCAGGTACGGTCATGTTCATCTTACACTGTTCAATTCGGAGACAATAACTTGCAACACTAGAAAAGCTAAAACACTACCTTACATAGTTTCCTGTTTGCAATAATTTGCCAAGAAAATGGTCTAAACAAACAGGAAACGTGAAAATAAGTTGGTATTTTTGCAATTAGTGATGAATAAACAAATCAAATGCACACCATCCTTAACTTAAGTATTCCTTCTCTTCTGCTTTCCTAGTAGCAACTTTAAAAATGTGACACAAGATCTTACCTTTTGTAGTCTGAAGGCATATGATGGTTTTGAATGAAACAATAATAAACAGAGTCCTAAATGCCCATGGAATATCTGTATTACGTGATCACATTGAAGGGAGGACCCTGTAAGAGGATGTTGAGCTGGTTTGACATGCCTACCTAGGCCATACAGCCACGTAGAATCTATAGATGCATATCAAAGCGATTTTTTCCTTCCTCTTGGACACTAATACTCATTCATAAAGTACACTTCAGAAACACTCTTTGTTGACTGATATTTATATATATATGTTCATGATTACACAGGGGGATTTCTTAGTGCATTTTATGGATATTGCTCGAGATGAGCTGGCCAAAAAACCTGATGAAGTATCAGTTGAGAAGCTGCAGGTATTGTTATGGGATATTATTTACTTTACTATACATTTGTTTCTTCTAGTAAATTTCATTTGCCACCTGCCTATTTTGATTTTGGAAGGGGGCTTGACTCTTACTTTCCTTTATCTTTTGTTTGCTTTGGCTATCTTCCTGAATGACGCAGTCTCTTCTAGACCTTGCTCTGCGTACAACAGCAGCTTCTGTCGATCCTTATCATGAAGGCTTAACCTGTATTGTGGCAAGTAACTAATACATCTTGTAAGAAATTTTGTAGCATTAAAATTCAGTATTCCCACATGATGCAAACTTTATACTTTCAGGAAAGATCATCTTTGCTTAAAAGGTTGGGCACATTTAATGTCACTGAAGTTAGCCAGAGAGATTCTAGTAATAATGATATTCTGGAGGAGCCTGTTAGCATCACTGGCCTTGAAACATTTTCACTAAGTTATAAGGTATTTTTTTCTCTACAAGTTTCTGAGAAACTCTGCTTTTAGTTAGTTGCATCATATTGTTGTTTTTGGTTCTCTTTTCAGGTGCACTGGCCATTGTCTATAGTATTATCACGTAAAGCCCTTACAAATTACCAGTTAATTTTTCGATTTCTCTTCCACTGCAAACATGTTGACCGTCAGCTATGTGGAGCATGGCAAACACATCAAGTATGGCTATGATTGCCTTTGCTTCACTTTGTCTTTTTTGTTTAATTTGTCTTACCTTCATTTTTGGTCCCATATTGTAGGGAGTTCGTGCTCTCAATACACGTGGAACTGCTATCTCCAGATCTTCTCTTCTGTGCCGAAGTATGCTTAAATTTATCAATAGCCTTTTGCACTATCTTACATTTGAGGCAAGTTTTTCTTTTCTGACTACACACATATTGTCTTTTTACTTCATCAAAACCAGATCAAATAAGTTTTCCAATCATATTTTTATGACCAATTTGCATAGCAAAAGGATAATTTTAGTCAGGACTTTTCAAAGTGCATAGGATTGGATCTGGGTTTCTCACTTTCTTTTTCATAAATTTGGTTCCTTAACTGAGCAGTTATGTTAGTTCTTGGTTTTCTGACTATGGTTTATATTTTAGGTTATTGAACCCAATTGGCACATGATGTATACTAGACTTCAGTCAGCAAATAGCATAGATGAGGTAAGTTATTATTGTCTGTCATAGATTCATTAGATTGCAAAACTGGTGATGTATAAGTCATGTTACATACATGATACTGGAGTATTTTCTCTCCATCAGGGGGTGGGGGGCTTGAATGTTTGAGAAAGTCTAACATTCTGTCTGAAACAGGTTATTCAACATCATGATTTTTTCCTCGATAAGTGTCTGAGAGAGTGTTTACTACTTTTACCTGAGTTGCTGAAGGTTAGTTTCTCTTTGTTTTGTTTTTATAAAATATATATGGTTATGCTGTTGTGTATTGGACCTTTTTAATAGGAACGTTAATGGTATTTGATGGATTTATTAACTAAAATTATTCTCTGCCTCACTTCTTTGTCAAACATCTTTTACTTGACATTTGCCATCAGCTAATTATCAAAGGTTTGACGCTCATGATTGGTTTATATTGAGTTCTTAATTGCAGAAGGTGGAGAGGCTTAAATCCATGTGCCTACAGTATGCAGCCGCAACTCAGTGGCTTATATCATCTTCTATCGTATTACATAGTCCAGATGAATCTAAAGCTGATTCACTAGGAACTAAACAATCAAAATCAGGTCAGGCCCTGAAGTCAGCCTCCAGAAATGCAGCGGTCACTGATTCTATTCTGTAAGTCCAAAAACAAAACTTTTTATAATTATATTAGCGTTTGTTGATACTGATGATTTAATTTCATGTGAACATTCTGACCTAAATAAATAATTGCAGCAAATTTGAGAAGGATTTTGATACCGAGCTTCAGAGTCTTGGATCAATCTTGAGTAGTAGCTCTCAGACAGAGCCATATTTGACCCATCTTGCAAAATGGATTCTTGGTGTCAAACTCGAACATAAGGGTTTGTGATGGGTTTTTCAGGAGTGCGGGTATTTAGTAGTGGTGTTAAACTTGAGCAATTATTGTGCATAGGTTAATGTAATGTCTGGAGTTGAGTATTTACATTCTTGTGAAGTTGTGGTTAGGTTTCTTTATAGGAAAATGCCTATTAGTAAGAAAAGATGAAAACAAGAAATGCAAGAATAAATCTCTACCATTCATTATCACCACCACCCCATGTTCCCCATTAAAAAGAAATTAAATTTAAAGTCAATTTAAAATTCACCTTTAAAATAGTGACATGTGTGCATTCTTGCATTTCTTGTTCAAATTATTTCATACTAAATAACATTACTCTTATTTATAACAATATTGAGAATATTTTCTTATTTGTTTTTCTAATATGTTCTTGCCAAAATTTGCCTTGGTAATCTGTGACTTGGTCTCCAAATGAAGCAACAATTTTTCATTTGATACAGCCGTATATTGTGTTTGATAGTGATTCTACTGGACTCAAACTCAACTATTGCAAATAGGGTACCCGTGGCTTCAATGGTAGCATTCAAGAGTATTATTATTGTAGATTAGAATCTAGACAATAACTTCTAAGAAAATACGCTTAATAAAATGTTGATAAAAATAAATTAAAAATTAGACAAATGTTCTATTGTTAATATTCATTCAGACTATTTAGTGAAATAATTTGCAAGATACGTATATTATTTGATCTTTATATCTAAAAATTTAAAGGAAAGAGAATTTGCTAACAAAATTGTTACTCTGTTCCTTTAATATAAATAAATTATTTTCGATAGAGAAAAGCGTCATTTGCTCTTCCTTATCATCTAAGCTGAACCGAAACATGTTCATACGCAATTGAGTCTAATACTTTCAACAAACTTAGATTTGGCTTGAATCCGGATTTGCTCTTCATTGTTATTTAGCTTTTTTTCTAAGTTGATCCGAAACATGTTTATGCGTAATTGAATCAAATACTTTCAATTGATTTTCATTTGAGACATTCACCTCTACTATCTATTTTTAGATTTTTTATTTTTTTTATCATTTTGTCTTTCTATCATAATTTTTTATTTATTTTGTGATCACTATCTTTCTATCATAAATTTAAACTTCTTGAATACGTCCGATAGCTCATCTTTTCTTTTAATCATGCAACTCTATAACTTTCTATTAAAATTATCGATGAAAATTACACAGTACCTAGAGCCTCCTTATATAGAAAAACATAATCTTAAATATAATAGCCTCCTAATATTATCTTACAAAAAAAATATCTCTAATTATGTAATATGATAAATAAAATATTAATTAAAGGAGTAGTGTTTAACACTAATAATTTTTTAATTAATTAGTAAGTCCTAAATTATTTAAGAAATTTTAAATAGATCTCTAAAGTAAAAGAAAATGTATCATGTTCTTGAAATATGTTTTTTAAAGGAAAATTAGGTCCCTATGTTAAACTAGGTTAGTCAACCCTAACATAACATTATATAAAAAGATCTCAACTATTTTAAAATTTATAAATAGGAATTTTAACTATTTTTGTATTTTTATAATAAATCTCTAGACAAATTTAAACCTATAAAACCAGTGTGATTAATCTCTATATAATGATAAATGATACAAAGCTTGCATTAAGAAACATAAAAAGTATATGTGATTATTGACTCTTTTGTAAATTTTAGTATAATCTAACAACTTTGCTCTTTCCATCTTTATCTAATATTTCTAGTATTAAGAGATATATTTTCGGAAGCATATTTTTTCACACACATTTCAATGACTGTTTTAAAACCCTTGTTTAGTTTAAATTTGATATGAAGATGCATCTCCGTATATACAAAATGTTGATTCGGAGATGCATCTCCGAAACTCCCTTTAATTCATTAGTTTGTGAGCCTTCTGGTGATGCATCTCAAAAATATGCTCTATTAGTTCAGACTATAAACAGACAACAAACAATAGCAGAATGAAAAACCAACATAGATTAACATCAAAGTAAACATTATATAGACAAACATTAATTTAACATTACACGTCATTATAAACGGGTGGTTAAAGACGTTGCAACATCCTTATAATATCTTCAGTTGATATTTGAATTGTCGCATCCACTTCAATCAGACCTTTAACTGAGTAACGATAAAAGTACTCCACATAACCTTCAAATCATCATCCATCTTCACTTCAAGCAAAATGAACCGTATCTTCTATTCATTGTCAATGGAGGGTAAACGGTACTCGAACTTGATATCTCTATGATTTTGTGGATATCGCGGCAAAGTATTCAGTTTTGATTTTAGATCAATGAGAAGTATGTTCTCGGAGACTCTAAACTAAAGTGGGGAATTTACGCTATTGAAATACACAAATGCAAGATGGGGGATATGGATTCATTCTGTTTTTACACAGAAAATAGAATGAGAAATCCTATTTATAGAAGTTGTAGAGCAATAAGGACCTTATAAACCCTACCCTAACTCCAGGAAAGACTTCAGAGATACATCTTCGGGTCCTCCTTTTTGGTTCAAAAACTAAGAGTTTATCTGGAGATGCACATTTGTATAGTCTCCTATTTTTTTTTTTTTTTTAAATTACAAGGTGTGTCCGAAGATGCATCTTTGTTGCAATAGAATTCATCAATGCAATATCGTGATCAGTGATTATGACTTGTGGCATGTTTTCTTGGTACTTCAACATAATCTTGCACATTTCTAAAGCCTGTGTAACATTGTTATCTTTTTTGGATTCCAAAAATGAAAAACCAACTGATTAAGTCATCTCCGTAGAAGTGACACCAATATTTTCCAAGAGTGGAAGTCTATACTTGTTTGTTTTGTATGTTGAGTCAATTATGAACACGAAGGAAAACGTGTTGAACAACTTCACGGAATTGAGATGACTCCAAAATAAATATCGAACAATGATTTTATCATTACAAACTTTATACCACGAAACATAGTCGTCATCTTCCAAAAGCTTCAACAACTGTTGCATCTCTAATCTTGGTCCTCTTACCGCCTTGTTGTCTCGAGCACGCACATTGCATATTTGCTTGATATTTGAAACATATAGAGGTTTTTTCCGTTTCAAATATGTGAGTATGTTTTTCGGCACCACCATATTTAATGTCATGTCCGAAACAAGTCCCCTCTCCTCCAGAATAAGGCAACATACAATGGGATGACCTACTAGCTTGTCAGTCAATGCATGATTATGTATACCAGAATGGTTTCTTATTATGAAGAAGAAGATCATGCAATATGATGTTTTATCAAATTTTCATTTGGATATTTTCGGAGATGCATCTCCGAAAATATCACTGATTTTTTATTTAAATTAGTTCAGTGAATAACAAAACTACGTAATTGAGTGTAATGGGTATTTCAGAGGTGCATCTCCGGATGCATACAAAACGTATACGAAGATGCATCTTTGAACATTATTTTTTAAAAGTATGGTGAAACTCAGAAAAGAGAACATTGGCGTGATTTTGGGTGCATTTGAAGATGCATCTGCAGACGCATGAAGGACAATTTCAAATTTTCAAAAGTGTGATATGCACATATAAGAATGGAAAAAACATTTCCCAAATCTATTTGTGTTGTTTACCGAACCATTTTCCCTTTGTTGTTGACAAATAAATCCAAAGGACCTCGTCAAATTGTTCATATAATTTTTTAATATAGCACAAATACAATTTAAAAACGTATTAAAATAATATGTTCTTGACAATGGTAAAGAATATGTTTATCATAGACCTAACAAACAAGTCATTATTCATGAAGTCACATATGCCAACACTCAACAATAAAATTGTGTCATAAAAAGAAAAATGCCCTTTATTCAAAATCGTTCGAACTCTTCTATTTTAAATGTATCCCAAAATTAGAGCGAGGTTAAATAATTTTATCATCTTATCTCATCTTTTGTTATAAGTAATATTAGTCATGTTTAATTTATGGTCTCGCTTTTTTCTTTTGTTTTTGTCACGTAGAGTCGAGAGTCTCGAGTATTTCGATGAGTAGATCATTTTCATATTCATAAGCCACACCAAACTAATTTTAATTCTCGTGCATATAAATATACCTTTGTGGATTGTATTCCAAATAAAAGAGGGCATATATGTTATGATCTTCCTAGTCATTGTTGGGTAAAATACCCCAATCACAAGATAAATGGTGAATAATGGAGAGATGATGAGAGTGGGAGAATTAGGGTGAAAATATGACCTTTTATCATTAATGATCCAACATGGATATTTAAACCATCATATAAAATATTATAGTTAATCAACTAATGAGAAAAATAAACTTCTCAGACATGTAACCGATTACATATTGGTGTAATCGGTTACACCAACTCTCTGTCTAAAAAATTACAAAAGATGGAATGGGTGTAACTGGTTACATATTTGGTGTAAATGTGTAACCGGTTACGCTATATCTATGTTTAGTAATTTAGTGATGCTGAAGTGGGTATAGCCGATTACACTTCTGATGTAATCAGTTACACTGTCTTGAATTACACTATTTTCTCAACACACCACCTTAATTCAAGTTCTTTAAGTATTCCTTACTCATGTTCTTCTTCAACCTCTTAACACTTCAATTGTTAGTCCTTTGGTTAGAAAATTGGCCATTTGGTTTCACTTTTGCAATACCCCAACTTCAATTTTTCTTCACTCACAAGCTCTCTCAAGTAGTAAAATCTCATATCTATATGCTTGCTTCTCCCATGTGAAATGAGATTCTTAGCCAGATTTTTAACGAAAACGTATATCACCAAAGTCATAATTTCATACTTTTTGCTGCACAACTCCTTCATCAAATGCATCAACCATATAGCTTGACACACCCACATAGACGTTGTAATGTACTCGACCTCGCAAGAAGATAGCGCCATAATTGGCTACTTCTTAGAACACCAAGAGATTGGTGTTTCTCCATACATAAAGATGCATCCAACAATGAATTTTCTATCATCTTTATCTCCACACCAGTTTGAGT